TGTTGTTGTTGTCGGTGTTGTTGTTGTTGTTGTTGTTGTTGTTGTTTTTGTTGTTGTTAGTAAACGTGAATGTTTCCTCTAGGTAATGGATGGTAAAAAAATGTGCGTAAACTTGAAAAGATAATATTTAGTGGTTATTACCTGGATTTGGTCCCAAAGGTAGAGCAGCTATAACAAAATAAAGGAGATTATATGTTATAGTATACATACATTTTTTGGGACGGAGGGGGTGATGGCTTATCATTTTTTACTAATTTGAATATTTCGGCCTTTATCCAAAGGTCTTCGACTGCAAACCGAACTCATTCATGAATGTGATTTAATTAGTTCTTCAAAAACTCATACATAATTAATGAGTTAATCGGCCAATAGAATGAGCCTATTTGCAATTGGTCACATGCATGGACCTTTATATCTGACTAAAACACTCCTTATTAGTATTCTTTATATAAAGAATACTAATAAGGGTGACCTTTATCAGAAATAAAGGTTCATGACCCTAGCAAAGGTCTCAGGTTTGAAACCTGATCATTGACCAACGCAGGATGTCAACCGATTGCAGTGAACAGCCAACAGCGGTTCTATTTTACTTTATGCGTATTCAATTTTGGATGACAAGAGAGCTTTGTAAAGTGATTCGCGCATGATCAGTTTGCCCTATTTATCTCAGAACATATTTGTACGGCAATATCTCCAAGAATTTTAACGGATTTGAGTTTCAATTTAGTTTTGGAGTTTTTGAAGCCGTTTAAAACACTCGAGATCTTGTTTTAAACTATACATAATGCTTTTTTATGTACAGCGCTTCGATTATTCTCCTTTGTTTGAAGAGTGCTGTAGATAAAACTGATTACAATTTTATCATCCTTATAAAAATCTTAGACCTAAAACATACTACAAAAATAGGACATTGTAAAGGATTATTGTAATAGTAGACCATAATATCTATYACTATTGCTGTCGTCCACTTACGCGCTTCGCAAATGTATCTCCTTTTCACTGAGCATGGTCGCACAACCCACCGTCCGGCGCCCCAGGTGCCTGTCCACATATCAACACAATCGAGGAGCCAGTGTTTTCTTGGTTGGTTTGAGTACCAGTTTGTATACGTCACTGGTTGAYTTGAAACCCATGTGAACAMGTTTTCTGTGTGAATATCACTCATTCCAATCCAAATACCAGCCCCATGATATTTAAACCCAGCCAATAAAGTACCAATGAACGCTTGTTCATACCTTACAAGAAAAATATGTACAAATAACTTATAATTGCGCAACGAGTTATGTTAGGAGTTGCAGTCCTTGAACAATTTAAAGTCCACCTCACCCATTTTTTTTTACAGTTGGAAAAAAAAGTTTAGGAGTTATAAACCACAAATTCACATAAAAAAAATTCGAATTTCCAAATTTCATATTTTTTATGCTCGTTTAATTCGGCCAAATGATTTTTGGCCGAGTGCGAGGGAGCCTGGGTTGATGACGTAGATGGAGTAACTCGTCCTTCGGTAAATACAAAGTTTACTGTACAAGTTCCACATATTTCATTACAAATCTATGTTTTCTAAGACTGAACGTGGGATAATCCAGCCTGAAACGGCAAATCTAATGCTACTAGAGATTATTCTGACGATTTGAACGTTATTTCATGTCTTGGCTATAAAAATGGAGCCAAAGTGTTGAGAGATTATTCTGGACAAACAAGTGTTGCGTATAGATCTAGATCTATATCAAGGAACAGGAAAAGTTATTTACGGCCCCAGGTAAGTAACTTCTTTCAATATATGTAGGTAGTATTTACAGCTGTTCAAATTCCAGGTTCTCTTGTTTCAGATTTGATTTTTACTGTCATTTCACTGTAGGTATCTATCGTTGTCTCTCGAACGACTTACTCCCTCTACGTCATCACGAAGACATTGATCAGGCACACAGGAATCCCGAAATTGGCTTTGTCCGCGGTTGTTTTCGCTTCAAAATGTAGTTTAAATAAACGAAATCAAATTTGTTTGTACAAATTGTTGTTACTATGACAAAAGTCTTTTCTTTACAAATATAAAAAAAATTGGGTGAGGTGGACTTTAATGTTTGCGATAAAAAAAATCATTGTAAGCCCTTCGTGCCTTTTCTTTGCACATGTAGACATCATTGTGCCTTTTCTACAATGGAACCTTAAACATAAAAAGTGCAAGAAGTAGAGCTCCCGACATGCCTTGTAGTACAAAATGGCGTCGCTGCACATCTATTGCATATTGAAAACAGCCAGCAAATAAGCGAATTAGCAGAAAAATCAAGTATCTGTAAAAAGGCAACATAACCTCTTGACAGTAGTCTGATTTCTAGATGGCTCTGAGCCAACGTCAATGCTTTCCTCCACAAACTCCACTTCAGTGATGGACATCGCCTCCAACCAAGCTCTTGATGTCACACGCCCTTTGTTTTGCCAACCGCCGATGAAAATTCTTGGAAGAACCACAGGGGGCCCAGGCTCAACGGTTGCGTTGCTTTCACGGCGGTGTCAAAGTATTAATTGCGGGGTTCGCGGTTCGAGCCCTCATGAAGCCGTAAATTTTTTCTACTTCATTTCTTGAGACTTTTCAAGACTTTTTCTT